AGGCTGCAGTACCACTTTTGGACACATTTAACCCTTTAGGCGCCAGAGTTTTTTTAAGAAAATGTACAATTTTGATTTCAAGATTTCAAAAGGCTATAACTTTAAAATGGTTTGAGATAAAGGCATACTGTAAATTAGAAATATCTTCAGTCTGAACCAAACTTTGGGATGGAAGTTGATTCGTCATCTAATTTGCATATTCTGACGTCATCAAGGTGGCGGCCATTTTGGAAAATGTTAATTATTGTATAAAGACTTCAAAAAGCTGTAGCTTGGGAGTTATTTGAGATCAAGGAATACTATAAACAGTAAATGTGAAATATATCTTTAGTATGAAATGAATTTGGGATAGAAATAAATTCCCTGATCCAGATTATACATAATGTTTTAGCACTGGTTCGCAGCCATATGGAATTTTATTATTTTCAAAGACCTTCAGTGATCAAGACTGCACTCTTTATAGTTTACAGTCATGAAATCTGGAGATTGGTTTCAATATTTCCCTTTCTAAGAAGTAGTGGGCATACTATTTTTCTCAGTGGAAATGAGGCTCCAGGATTTATCGTGTAGAAACAGAGAGATGAAATGAATGGGCACAGAACATGTCAGATCGTCTCAACAAGAAACAACAGGCTCTTCAACACTTCTGATCCACTTTTGTGGATTATTTTCTCTCAAGAACTGCCTTCATCCTCATCATTGCAGTTGGTAAAGGCAGTGAACGCAATAAGCGATGTGCTTTTTCCCGCGGCTTCTCCCGCGTCTTCCGCGATCCCCGCGGATGTCTACCCCGGCTACTTTCTCCCACATGCCCGGTGTTATGATGCCCCTGTCCCCTCGACCCCGGCCCCTGCTTGGCGTTCACAGAATGCTTCTACCGCGGCCACACGGAGGACAAGCAGCCGCTGTACTGGGGCTGATTGTGGACTATGGAGCGCGTTCTCCCCGTCACCAATAATGTCCGTGTCTGCTTCACTGGACACCTGCGTGTCTTCCTCCTCTGAATCTGAGTGAGTCAGTACCAGACCAAGTACTTCTCTGGTACTGAAGACCTCGTGAGTAAAAGAAAAAAACACTCTTTCCTTCTGCTCTGCTCTCGCTCCTCTCAGCTCTACCGCTGCTGCTTCGCCTCCGCGCTGCTGCGCCGCAGGTGTTTTACGAACTCAATTTACTCAAAAACTTTCAATATAACCACACCCACAAATGTTGCTCATATTACAGGCACACATGTCCACTAACCCCTGGTGAAAAGTATTAACAAGATTCTGCTCCACATTTTTACATACAGCCTGTTTAAGTGAGCAATGTTGCTTGTCGCAATATTGCGACTTTGGCGCTTAAAGGGTTAACTTCTACTTTTTTCATCGTGGGCCTTCAACAAAAGGTTGGTATATTGACTTAAAAGCACTTGTATATTGTAAATAGTAACTGTAACTCTATTTTAAATTTAAATTTATTCTTTAGAAGTGTTTTTTATTCTTATTTTTATTCTCTCTTTTTGACTGTTGCACTGAGCCAAAGCAATTTCCAAGTCTGTGACCTCCCGTTACTTACGTTGGCAATAAAAATGATTCTGATTCTGATTCTGATTCTGAAGTGATCCACCAAATGGTCAAACTTAGGCCTGCAACAAAATGTTTGCTTTTGCCAGTGTGCCCCAGGGCAGCTGTGGCTATAGAAGAAGTTTATCACCACAGTGTGAAGCGTCTTTGAGGGTCCAAAAAAGCAGTAAATAAAACCAATGCATTCTCATCATTATTAAAACAATTGGATATTTCAACCTGTAGCTCGCCAGCCCCTTTCAGGTAACTCCCTAAAAGATTTAGAATTTAACAAATTATCCTAAATGAATCCATTTTTAGTCCTTCCATGTCTTTTAATAAGTATAAATATATAAACTTATAATGGGCACATACTGTATATAGGTTATACAGTATTATGTACATGTGTTCTCTGTGTTTCATCATAATTATCACATAGATCTTACTCTTTACAGCAACCGGCGCGCCGGCGGCCGTTTTTATGTTTTTAAATGTTCTGCTGGCAATAGCAGATGTATTTTGAACACCAAACCCCAAAAGCTGTATATCATTTTAAAGCTTATTTTCTTATCTACATTTATATACAAGTGTAAACTACATCAGACTTTGCATTCAAAAGATATAACACATAATGTGGGCACAAAATAAATCAATTCCAAAATAGTTTTTTACCTTTGGGCTTGTGCTGTAAAAAATAAATCAGCTCTCCTCCCAGCTTGCAATACATCATTCTCTCTGGAACAGTCCAAAGGAAAATTATATCCACTTGTATTTCCCAAAGAAAAATCCATTCTGCAGAAATAATCCAAAAATGTGCATTTATCTTTAGCGAAAAAAACGAAAAAAAGAGCACAGATGTTACTCTTTCACTTTTAACGGACTTTTAGCTTTGTTTTTCACCCAAACATCTGGTATCTACGTGTTCCTTAGCTCCTTATCTTTCAAATGAGACTACTCCCGAAAAGCTAGACCAATTTTTGGGTCTGCAAGAGCTCCCGCGAGTACAGCTAGTGTTGCTGTTTGCGCATTGATCACTGATCTTTGTTGTGATCCCAACTTGTTTGCTTTTACTTCCGGGATTTACGATTGACATGTCCTTGTAGCCAATGAGGAAAGCTTTCGAACAAGGGGTGGGACAATGGTGTCCTGTCTTATGTTGGGCCTGGACAATTGTGCGTAATGGCAGCCAAAAGACGCTCTCGAAGCTGCAATGAATTTACTCTCATAAAAAAATAACTTTGACATTTAAAAAAGAAAAACACACATAGATTAGTAACTTATAAGTACCAATAATAAAAAATATTGTTTTTATGATGATTAAATGTAAGTAAAGATATTTGGCACAATTTGGCACACTTGTGCCAAATTGTGCCAAATGTGCACTACTTGATGAAAAGGAGAAACTGCATAAAAACTATAAAACTTAGAAGTCTGAAACTTTAGACAGTTGTTGTCAACAACACAATGAACAGAGGGTTTGAATATTGTGAACTTACAATGAAGTATGCCTTTTTTAGGGCCTTTAGAAATTGAAAATGTTAGGCGAGGCTAAAAAAATTGGGTTTTTTTCCCTAACTTCAAAGGATGCAGAGGAATTTGGAATGACAAACATTATTTTAGTGTTTTTTTACATAATCTAGAAGGCTCTAGCTTTAAAATGATGCATCACACAAGCATGTGAGATGTAAGATGTGTTTTTAAATAAGCAAAGACATTTGGGTATGCCAAACTTTTGTGCACAAGCCAAAATGAGGCATACAACTGCAGAAAAGAGTAGCTCTCTGCCTCTTCTGTTGTATAAAAGTAGCTCTCCGATTGACAACAGTTAAAGACCCCTGCTCTAGAGGAAATACTTGCATTTTGTCATAGTCTAACAAGTTTGAAAACGGGAGCATTTAGACTCGAGGTGCGGGCTGGAGACAGAAGTTCAACAAAAACAACTTTTTTCCCGACAAGGGAACGACGCTCCGACATGAAACTCAGAAAATAAAACATATCGTGGGTGAATAAAGTGAATAAATAACAACAAAACAAAACGGAAAGCACAAAGAAATCCTTGTGATAAGATATTCATAATGAAAAAACAGATCTGTGTGAAACCCCGTTCTCCGTTTTCCACCGCTCACATTAAAGCGGCGTGACGTGGCGCCGGGTTTGGGTTATTACTCCTTTATGACCACGCCGACGGCTTGTCTCGGCCCGTTAGCTTTCCCCACCACCTACGGTCGTCCCGAATGCTGAATTATGCATGGCGTGTTATTTATGTGCGCGCTTATTCATGAGCCGAGAGCGCGAGAGCTGCACCCAGACCAGATACAGGCGGCCATTTTTCACCCAGATGGTGTCAGAAGACGAGAGGAGCCGAGAGGGGAAGCAACAGCCACATAATGGTCCTTGTATTCACTTCAAACACTGAGAGTTGCCAGATAGAGAATCAATCTGGCAACACGACCGGCTGCATGTAGAGTAGGCCGGGGAAAGGCGGCAGTGGACAAATAAAAACAAGATGGTTTTTTTTTTTTTTTCGATTGGATGTTATTGTTCAACTAAACTAATGTCAAAAATCAGAGTCCCAGCAGGAGGAGGTCAGTCCCTGTGCTCCTCAGAGTCGCAGCAGGAGGTCAGTCCCTGTGCTCCTCAGAGTCCCAGCAGGAGGAGGTCAGTCCCTGTGCTCCTCAGAGTCGCAGCAGGAGGTCAGTCCCTGTGCTCCTCAGAGTCCCAGCAGGAGGAGGTCAGTCCCTGTGCTCCTCAGAGTCGCAGCAGGAGGTCAGTCCCTGTGCTCCTCAGAGTCCCAGCAGGAGGAGGTCAGTCCCTGTGCTCCTCAGAGTCCCAGCAGGAGGAGGTCAGTCCCTGTGCTCTTTAGAGTCCCAGCAAGATAGTCCCTGTGCTCCTCAGAGTCCCAGCAGGAGGCCAGTCCCTGTGCTCCCCAGAGTCCCAGCAGGAGGTCAGTCCCTGTGCTCCTCAGAGTCCCAGCAGGAGACCAGTCCCTGTGCTCCTCAGAGTCCCAGCAGGAGACCAGTCCCTGTGCTCCTCAGAGTCCGAGTCGGTTCATTCAGAGGTGTTTGCTGATATGATACTTGTCAATACTGTACTGATAGATTTCCAAATGATTAATTCCAGTTTTCTTTGACTAATAAAACATCTATTTAACATATTTGTGTTATATTTCAATGAATTCAATTGTTAAAAATATATGTTTTTAATATTGAAATTGTGAAATTGAGAGTGATTGAATAAAACATTGATTGTTTCTATTTAATTAATCTACAGCACCTCTAGTGTTTCATGTATTTATACGTTTGTTATTGTTTTATGAAAATGTTTTTTACATAATAGTAATAATGCTGTTTTGTTTTTTCTAGACACCTCTTGAAGTCACCTTACAGATAAATACAATAAATACAAAATATTACAATGCAATAAATAAGCAATACATTCAAAAATATAAAATTGCAGCCAATGGACAAAGAACGATTGAGTTTGAGGTGGGATTTGATTAAAGGCAGAGAGTCTGGGGTCCGGAGGTTTTACAGGTCGGCTGTTCCAGAGGTGAGGAGCAGAACCAAGCTGAACCAAGGAGGAAGCAAGGAGGAACCAAGCAGGAGGAGCAGAGAGGAGGTGGGCAGAAGAGGAGCCAGAGGAGGTGGGCAGAAGAGGAGCCAGAGGAGGTGGCGAGAAGAGGAGCCAGAAGAGGTGGACAGAAGAGGAGCCAGAGGAGGTGGCTAGAAGAGGAGCCAGAGAAGGTGGCTAGAAGAGGAGCCAGAGGAGGTGGCTAGAAGAGGGGCCAGAGGAGGCGGGCAGAAGAGGAGCCAGAGGAGATGGCTAGAAGAGGAGCCAGAAGAGGTGGGCAGAAGAGGAGCCAGAGGAGGTGGCTAGAAGAGGAGCCAGAGGAGGTGGGCAGAAGAGGAGCCAGAGGAGGTGGCTAAAAGAGGAGCCAGAGGAGGTGGCTAGAAGAGGAGCCAGAGGAGGTGGGCAGAAGAGGAGCCAGAAGAGGTGGGCAGAAAAGGAGCCAGAGGAGGCGGGCAGAAGAGGAGCCAGAGGAGGCGGGCAGAAGAGGAGCCAGAGGAGGTGGCTAAAAGAGGAGCCAGAGGAGGTGGCTAGAAGAGGAGCCAGAGGAGGTGGCTAAAAGAGGAGCCAGAGGAGGTGGCTAGAAGAGGAGCAGAGAGGAGGTGGCTAGAAGAGGAGCCAGAGGAGGTGGGCAGAAGAGGAGCCAGAGGAGGTGGGCAGAAGAGGAGCCAGAGGAGGTGGCTAAAAGAGGAGCCAGAGGAGGTGGCTAGAAGAGGACCCAGAGGAGGTGGGCAGAAGAGGAGCCAGAGGAGGTGGGCAGAAAAGGAGCCAGAGGAGGTGGCTAGAAGAGGAGCCAGAGGAGGTGGGCAGAAGAGGAGCCAGAGGAGGCGGGCAGAAGAGGAGCAGAGAGGAGGTGGCTAAAAGAGGAGCCAGAGGAGGTGGCTAGAAGAGGAGCCAGAGGAGGTGGGCAGAAGAGGGGCCAGAGGAGGTGGCTAGAAGAGGAGCCAGAGAAGGTGGGCAGAAGAGGAGCCAGAGGAGGCGGGCAGAAGAGGAGCCAGAGGAGGTGGGCAGAAGAGGAGCCAGAGGAGGCGGGCAGAAGAGGAGCAGAGAGGAGGTGGCTAAAAGAGGAGCCAGAGGAGGTGGCTAGAAGAGGAGCCAGAGGAGGTGGCTAGAAGAGGAGCCAGAGAAGGTGGGCAGAAGAGGAGCCAGAGGAGGCGTTTGCTTGGAGCAGATCTGAGGCGACGCGATTATTTAAAAATAAATGCTAAACTGAAGCAGGAGTCAGTGCAGTTCTTTCAGGACGAGGGTGATGTGTTTAACATAAATAATTCCAGATGAAATGCCAACGTTAATCATCTGAAGTTTAACACAAATAATGTATTCTTCTTTAAAGTAGCTTTTCCAATCAATAAAAGAGTGGAAGGAAATCGAGTCAAAAGACTTTACAAAACCTGTCCAACATTTCCCAGGGAACAGTCCATTTAGCTTAATGCAAGGAATTAATCTCCCACCAGGAGAGGGGGAGGAGGAGGAGAGAGGGAGGAGGAGGAGGGAGGGAGGGAGGAGGAGGAGAGAGGGAGGGAGGAGGAGGAGAGAGGGAGGAGGAGGAGGAGGGAGGGAGGAGGAGGAGACGGAGGAGACATATAAAAGCTTTTAGTCATTGCTCAGAGAGACGTGAGGCAAGTGGGACAGAGGGGGAGACGGAGAGAGGACAGAGAGATGGGAGGGAGAGAGAGAGAGGTGAGAGAGAGGAGAGAGAGAGAGAGGAGAAGGGAAAGAGAGAGAGAGGAGAAGGGAGAGAGCAAGGAGAGGGGAGAGAGGAGAAGGGAGAGAGTGAGGAGAAGGGAAAGAGAGAGAGAGGAGAAGGGAGAGAGCGAGGAGAAGGGAGAGAGAGGAGAGGGGAGAGAATGAGGAGAGAGAGAAGGGAGAGAGAGGGGAGAGAGAGAGGAGAAGGAAGAGAACGAGGAGAGTGTAGAGAGAGACAAGAGTGATGAGAAGTGATAGAGGGAAGAGAGTGAGGAGAGTGGAGAGAGAGGGAAGAGAGAGAAAAAGCATAGAGTAGAAGGGAGAGAACAGGGAGAGAGAGAGAGAAGGGGAGAGAGAGAGAGGACAGAGTGAGGAGAGAGCGAGGAAAGGGGAGAGAGAGGGGACAGAGAGATTGATTATTTTTAATAAATCTGTTGAAAATCTGAACAGTTTTGGGCGGAATTCCATTGGTTTGAATGGGAGCAGTCAAAATGACGGCTCTGGAAGTGCTCAGTGGATCACTGTGGGAGTCTCAGTGTTAGTCCAGGAGTGAAACATGTAGTCTGAAGATGAAATACTAAGGATTCTGAACCCATGGAGATTAATAAAGGGGTTTTAAACTGGTTTCAAACTGGATTCAAACTGGATTCAAACTGGACTCAAACTGGACTCAAACTGGACTCAAACTGGTTTCAAACTGGATTCAAACTGGACTCAAACTGGTTTCAAACTGGTTTCAAACTGGATTCAAACTGGTTTCAAACTGATTTAAACTAAACTGGATTCAAACTGGTTTCAAATTGATTTCAAACTGGTTTCAAACTGGATTCAAACTGGATTCAAACTGTTGGTTGACATGAATGTGCACTTTTGGATCAACTCCAAATCCATGGCTTTCAGAATGAAGTAAAATGAGGATCGTTGTCATAGCGACCAACAGTCAAGAGATGTGTTGAAAATGGTAAAAATCTAAAGTGGTAGAACAATTGTGTTTTTATTCAGTTGGATTCACATTAGCTTATTTTTATAGCACAGTTATTCCTAAAATGTAAATTAAAATTCTCAGTTTGGGTTTTTAATTTTCAGACCTGAGGTTGTTTTTAGCTCCATCCATAAAACTGTTTACACACAGCTTTTCAACACCACTGTCTGACACTTACACGGTCACACACGCACAGATACACACGTTTACACACACACATACACGGTCACACACCCACAGATACACACGTTTACACACACATACATGCACTTGTACACACGCACACTCACACGTACGTACGCACACACACATACACGGTCACACACGCACAGATACACACGTTTACACACACACACTTGTACGCACACTCACACGTACGTACACACACACACACATACACGGTCACACACGCACAGATACACACGTTTACACACACACACATACACTTGTACGCACACTCACACGTACGTACGCACACACATACATGCACGGGGACACACACACAACACACAAGCACACACATACACGCTTGTATGCACGCTTGTAATCACGCTTACACATACGTACGCACACACACACATGCACACAAATACACGGGCATACACACACACACAGATACAAACGTTTGTACACACACATGCACAACACACTCTTGTACACACGCACACATGCACACACATACAAGGGCACACACACACATACACACGTTTACACACACACACAACGCACACTTGTACACACTCACACGAGCGTACGTACACACACACATTTTGAAACTTCCCCACTGTGGGACAAGTAAAGGATCTCCTAATACACACACACACACGTTTACACACACACACACACACACACACACACAGTTCTGCCCCACACTTCCATGATCCTTTCCCTTCCTCTCTGTCCATTACCGACTCCGTACAAAAAATGAAAAAACACAGCTGGGAAACGATTGAACCCGAGGGAACAAATACCATTTTTTACCACACGCTCATGACACAACGACAAAACATAAACAACGACATCCCGAAAGACCGTCTTACAAACAGCTCTCGAAAAAATACATGAATCACTCACACTCAGAGCGAGAGAGCGACACAACTATAAAAAAGATGTGAAAGCTGCGAGGAGTGGATTTTGCACGTTACGTCCCCTTTAAGCACGACGTCGGGCCTTGAAAGCCTCACGTCTTGTGGTGCAGCGTTAGCCTGATGTAATCCGCGAGTACAGAGGGGTTCTGTTGTTGCTCCGCCGCTGCCTCTGATGGACTGCTCTTGTCTTGTGTTGCGAGCTGTCGCCTGGAGCCATGGATCCTCTCTCTTGGCTGTTACTAATCTCATTACCGACACATCTGACAGACACATGCCCCGAACCAGAGAGGGCCGCGAGCGCAGGCACAGTGCGTTTGAAAATACATCATAATAATACAAGGCTGGGATTTTTCCTCTGTCGTTCTTCAGACGCTCCACGCTGCATTTGAGAGATGAAAAATGGAGCTGGATGAAGTGGGGATTGTGTTTTTTACGATATCGGTAGGATTGGATTCAGGCAAAGGGTAGTTTCCTAGTTTCAATGATTTTACCAGGATCTTTCAACCTACTTTTTCCAGAGTTGAATTGTGATGTACCTGTTATGCTAACAGCCGACATCAGCAAAAAAAAGTTTAGTTTATTCAGCGTTTGGACATATGCACACTTTACGAGCAGATTGCTGTACAGAGGGCTCAAAAGGAGTTGACAGGAGAAAAAAATCTTAGATGGACCTTCTCCTTTTAACATTGGTCGGTTGACAGGACACTTCCATGATTACAAGTTCATCAATCATTTCTGGTTCTCCTCAGGGATGTATTTTGAGTCCTCTGCTCTTTACTTTGTACACTCACGATTGTGTGTCCTCCTCTGACTCAAACTTGATCATTAAATATGCTGATGACACCACCATCATCGGTCTCATCAGTGACACTGATGAATCCTCTTATAGAGCAGAGATACAAAATGTGGTTCAGTGGAGTCAAACTAACAACCTCCAGTTGAAAGCATCCAAAACATGTGAACTGGTCACGACTTCAGTCGTAATAGTTCTCATTTGCCTGTCGTAATCGACAACTCCCAGGTGCAGATCGTAGAGGAGTGCAAGTTTCTGGGTTTAACTCTGTCTAACCTGAAATGGGTTAAAAACACTGACCGAGTCGTTAAGAAAGCTCGTCAGCGTCTCTACTTTCTGCGTAAACTTAGAGAATTTACCACTAACTCTAAGATTCTGCTTAACTTTTATCGCTGCACCATTGAGAGTTTACTTGTTGGTTCTGTGTCTGTGTGGTTTGGAAACATCACAGATAAAGAAAAGAGAGCTTTAAACAAGATGCTCCGCTCTGCAAAGAGGACCGTGGGCTGTGAGCTTCCTGTTCTGGAGGTTCTTTATAAATCCAGACTTTTAAACAAAGCTCTTAGGATTGTTAATGACTCTTCTGGCCACCCTGGGAAAGCCATGTTCCAGCTTCTTCCCTCTGGCAGAAGATATCGTTCTCTGATATGCAGGACATCTCGTTACGCTAACAGTTTTTTTCCACAGGCTGTTATCAGTGTGAACAGAGAACTTTAATGATTTGCACTTTTTTTTAAACTGTTTTAGTCGATCGATTTCACAGTGACATTTGTTTACTGTTTTATTTTTGTCTTTTAATGTTGTTTTATGTCTGTATTTGTCTGTGCACACTGGTGACTTTTGCTAATGTATTCCAATGTGGTGTTTTTACTGCAAATGGCAAATAAACTGAATCTCAATCTGAATATGAAAAGTACATGAATTGTTATGTGTTTAAGTGAACATACAACAATACATTTTCCCGTGGAAAAAGGTCAAAAAAAGAATCCTGGTAATAGCTTTTGGTTGGACGAGAATAATTGATTATTTATCTAGAATAATTTATCACAATTTATGCTCGGACTGGAATGTTTTGTAGTCAACGGTCACACAAATATGAACAATAAAATAATACCACCCTGAATGTCATGTCCTTCATTCATTCATTTTCAAACCCCTTTATACCCCCCGACCCAGAGGTCGGGGGAGTTGGCAATGAGAGCTGCCTCCCAATGCTCATGGCACCAGTCCCTCTGATCCTCTGCAGGGGGTGGGTCCATGACTGCTGCATCTACGGTGCCACAGCCTTGTTCGTTCAGCGGGGGTTCCAGGCAATGTGGGGTTAAGTGTCTTGCCCAAGGACACAATGACAGCACACATGAGTGGGAGCAGTTGGAGTAGGTCTTGTGGTCAATTTTATTTTTGCTGCTACTGGACACATGAATTTCTCCTACGGGGTTCAATAAAGTATCTATCTATCTATCTTTCTATCTATATCATTGGGACGCATTCCAAGGGCTGGGAACCATT